GCACTTTGGGGAATATCCACTATTTAATCACTTTTATCTGCGCCGGGGGATCCTAAGCACATATTTTTCAAGCAAAATGAATGCATTGTAGAATAATTGTGATCATGGAGGGAGGCATTAACTAAATTTGTAGCGTCTTCAAAGAAATAGAAGCTTATTAGTTAATACTCAATCATTCTATGCAGCACTCTATTCATAATGTAATATCAAAACAAGACTTACACTAGAGGGGGATCTTGCTCTAAAGAAAATACCTAAAGTGTCTCATGTTTAGTTCTGAGTATCTTACACTCTTAACTGTTGCAGTGCAGAGAATCCCACCACCACGCTGCTTTAACCAAGCAAACCCTGTGCAGGGTTGGTTTTCTCCGTGTGTGTGTGTGTCTTGTGGGTGCAGAGGTCAACCTGATAAAACGCGTCCTTGACAGCCTTGTTTCCGTCCTCTGCAATCTGCAAACATCGCATCTCATTTCACACGCGGCGCTGTACCCCATCTGGGTCACACAGGCACAAATACAGACGGACCCCGCCACACACACACACGATCCCAAATGTCACCCTTAATCATAATCACTAATAGACCCGGCATCCGGGACAATGCGACCAGCCAATCCGGTTAAGTGTGACTGACCGCTTCGGAACATGAAATACCAGGATTGGTCACAGCCAGTGTGGTAGGAAGGGGATTAGGGATCAACATGGCAGGGTGTCGGGAAGCAGACAAAGACAAAATACGTGTGTGTGTGTGTGTGTGTGGGGGGCAACAGTTAGCATTGTTAACAATTCAGACAATGTGCTGTAGTTATGAAGGAGGAATGTGAAGAGGAGAGAGATTCTAAAATAAAATGGTCCTTTGAGTTTGACATGTGACTTTTTCATTCACTGGCCGTCGTAACGTCACCAAAAGCATCTTCCTCCGCCCTAACTGGACTTTGACCAGCGGGCCTAACATGTGGACTAATTTATCACGCGCGCCGCCAGCTTTCATCACATCCTTTGGACAAATGCTTTGCAGGGGGACGCAGTAGGATAACATTCGGACGTTGCTCCACATGGCAGTGCGATCATACAAAGATATGTAGAGGAAATTTGCTCCGACCCCGGCCCGTGATCACGGCCCTAGAAGGACAACAATGACGACTCCTCGAGGTCGGGGGTTATTCTGTCGCTGCTGCTACGAAAACAGATTAGTTTTTGTTTTTTGTTTTCACCGCCTCAATCTCAAATCCCATAAGCGGTTGAGCGAGGGGAAGGGGCACAAGGACGCGAGGGAGGGGGGGGGGGGGGGGTTAAATTCTTCGATAGTTTGAAGGTAAACAAGGTAATAATATCAAGGAGTGGAGGCTACTGCAACCAAGGCAGAGGTTGCGTTATAGAATTCACAAAATGAGTCAATAATTCATGCAGTTTTTCAACAAAAATGTGAATAATTGAGCTGCTTCGCTCCGTGCGTGGGCCTTCTTTAGTAAGTGATGTTGGTGGAAAGCTACTCAGGCTGACGAGATATCTGCACCCAGCCGTGGTGGTTAACGTTTTTGCAGAAACATATTTCAGACCAGAGTTCTGGTCCGACAATGTGGCATCACGGATGCCGATATTATCACACTCAGCTTCACATTCCTTTGCCCGCTTGATTCCAACATTTGGCTGCCTGTGTGTGTGTGTGTGTGTGTGTGTGTGTGTGTGTGTGTGTTTGCCGTTTTCTGCCGTCTGCGAGTTAAGAGAAAATTGGAACAGTCACACAGTGACACACACACACACACACATGCAGAAACACACAGTGTACGATGACTGTGTGAGGCAGGTCAATGGCGATGACCTACTTCTCGGTTCTGCGCCGCGGACTGCCACAGCCGCTCACGTCAAGGCACCAAACATACCTCCTCCACCCAACACAATGTTTTCTATGGGGTGGGGAGGGTTAGATGCCTTTGGACTGCTTACTATAATTATGTATATTTTTGATGTTTACCGACGGCAATCTGGCAATGAAATCACTTCCAACTTCAATTTTGAGGTTCACAGAGCCACGGTTGTTTTTTTTAAGCTGAAAAGAGCTGCTTCGAGGAAGAGTCTGAAGAAGACGTGATGTAAAAAGGCAGAAGCTCCCAAGAAATGACGTACGATGATTAGCAGTTATTAGCGGGACATCATGGGCGGCTACATGCATTATGGCGAGCTGCAGGAACCGCTCGCCAGTCTAAACACAGAATGTCTGCATCGTGCTCTCGTCGAATCCGTTCTTTTTTAAAGTTTTTTAAAAAAAGGGTGGAGGAGCTCCTATGAAATTTTTAACAGCTTTAACTGAGCAGAAGGGGAACGCCGCGGCCTCCTCCGACCCACGCAAGAAATGAAAGATTTAGATGGGGAGGGGTGGGGGGAGGAGTCTGCCCAAATATAATCAGGACCCCAGATGAAAAGCTGCTTTCTCAGGCGCTTCATTAGTTGTTCTCGCGCTTGTTTGTATTCCGAGGAGCCGGCGGACATCTGTCGAAATATCAAAAGCGGGAGAGGAAAAAAAAATGGATATAGAAAGTTGTGTTGCAAAAGGTCATTCGCTGACATTTATGGTCCAGAGCAGAGGTTTGTGTTTCAAAACAAATGAATAAAAATCGCCTTGCATCCGAGAGTAGCATCCGGGCAATTTGGCCTCTCAATGAAGATGTGGGGAATTTCGGACTCCGGGGTTACGCGGCGAGAGAGATGTAGTTATTGGCCACATTGGTGCTGAAGGGATGATCTCTTTTCTAGTTGGGTAGGACACATGTGGGAATCGGACCGTGGAGGATTCGTCCCCCTGCTCCCTCGGCTTTGTGTCGCCCCCCCAACCCTCCCATTGAAGAGCGTCCGCGCTGACGTTTCAGTCATCAGGAAGGAAGGGATGGTCGGGGGTGTTGAATAAACAACTTGGCCAGGATTTTCCTCCTGCCGTCTCAGTACCCGCCCCCCCCATACTTAAGATCTCCACGCTCCTGGTCCCTCTGTGATGCAACCCCCCCCTGCGTCTTGTGCCGTCACCTCAACGCACGGTTCAACAGTGTCACCTATTGTGTGCGGAGAGACATTTCACCCAGTCTCATCCTGCAGTTGGGATTTGGGTACCTGTGTGTGTCGAATGTAGGTTTATGTGTGTGTGTGTGTGTGTGTGTGTGTGTGTGTGTGTGTGCGTGTCAGAATGAGCTTCATTAAATCTCTTCATTCTTTAGTGCCCCCAGGTTTCCCCCACTGTCAACAGTCACCTGTCAGAGGTCCATCAATGTACAACTTTGCCAGATTTGTCAGGAACCTTTTTTTTTAGGTTGTTTTCTGCATTCGCTGTGCTTATGTGAAATGCTGTGTGGCGTCATTGTCAGTTGGCTGACATCCGTTCACACTGATGTCCTGCAGGAATCTCAAATCTGCATTATTAATACGGCACTGATCACTGTTTACAATGCTAAATGCACACAGCAGAGGTGTTCCGGCATGTGACAGAGAATATATGTATGTCTCAAGTTACAAGGGAAAGAAGCTATGGAGGATTATTTGCGTATTAAAACTGTTTTAATTTCATTCAGGTTTTGCAACTTTTACTTTAACTTATTCCTCAGTTTCAACAGTCCCCCGACTTACTTACCAAACCAGTGCTGGTGTGTTTTCTTTATATTTATCATGAGAAGGCCTTCAACATGTCAATATCCCCTTCATTATCAATAGCAGTATTAATCTGCTCTTTGCCAGTGTTGAAACTTAAAGCTGGTAAAGCAAATGTTTTTACACGTACGGCCGAGCCAAAGCACAAAGACCAAGACTGTCCTTCTGCCTGCTGAGTGGTGTAGCAATTAAGGAAAGGAGTTTCCTGGTCGACGGGATTGTCCGGGGCAGATTGACCAGAAAGACCTAAAACATCATGAATTCCCTTTTCAACTCAACACAGTTCTCCAGGTTTTACTGGAACGCCAAAGAGCTTCAAAATTCTGGAAATATTAACACATGAGAGAGGCTCCTCGGTGCTTTAGAGAGAATGCTTGGCGTGTGATTGCTGAATCACTTCCATCTTTCCCACTCAATTTCTATCCTCTTCTCAGTCTCTCTCCGTCCTTATTAACTTGATTTTGAAATGTGGCTTTTCCTTTCTTTCTTCCAAAGAACAGATCAAAGTTGTTTGGTTCGCCTCTTCTGAACTCATCCATGTAAAATCCATATTTTCTCCTTCCATCCATTCTCGGCCCCGCTGCAAATTACTGGCTTGAGATATCCGCAGCACAGAGGATGAAAGGAAAGCAGGCAGAAAGAAGATGAGGCAGAGCATAGGAGGGATATTTCGAGGATGCTCGCAAACCTCTAGCTCGGTAAACAGTGACATCTGCTGAAAGAAGCTTGTCTGGTACAAAAACACATGCATTCATTCAGAGGTTTCATCGCCCCTTGTGGAGTGCCGTCCATGGCAGCATGATCCGTGCACGTATCCACTCGATCTCCGTTGCGTTTCCCTCAGCAGCATCTTCATATATTCCATTTCTGATCTACGTCGCACATTTTGTTCCCTGAAGAGTTTGAATAGGGTCCATCTAATCTTGAAACGTTTTCCTCTCCTCTCTGTGCTGAATGTTTTTCAGCAGTGGTAGAAATCTCCTTTGGGTGTCACAAACCAACGGCTGTTATTAACGACCCTCTGGCTGAGTTCACCAATGGGGGAACCAAGTAGAACAGAACTCGCAAAGCAGAGTGGAACTTTTAACTGCGAGACGGAGCCTCAAAGGGAACTTGTGGACTGGAGGGATAAGAAATGATTGGAAGTGACGTTATCAGAATCCCCGCCACGCTTATTTATCGATTTACTGGAATTTCTGTTTTTTAATTAAATACACATTTGTCTCAACAGCAGACCGCTTTCCTTCAACATCGCCTTTGAAAACAACTTCATAAGACACTCAGCCACTGCGTGTTAATTTAGTGTGGTTTCTCTCTCAATCTCAAATCCCTGCGCTTTCTGTCTCCTTTCTCCTCCCCACCTGCAGACGGCTGAGCGGCTCTTCTGGAATTCGCTGACGCTGCGCCTGGTCCCGCGTGGCCTCCTGTGAGCAGGATGGACACTCTGGAGTCAGAGCTGACCTGCCCAATCTGCCTGGAGCTTTTTGAAGACCCACTACTGCTCCCCTGCGCTCACAGCTTGTGTTTCGGCTGCGCCCATCGCATCCTCATCTCCCACTGCGCCACCAACGAGTCCGTCCAGAGCATCGGCGCCTTCCAGTGTCCCACCTGCCGATATGTCATTTCCCTGAGCCCCGAGCGCGGACTAGAAGGACTTAAGCGAAACGTCACCTTGCAGAACATTATCGATCGAGTTCAGCGGGCCTCATCTTCGGCCGGGGTGCCCCTGCCGCTGCCCGCGCCCCACAGCGGGCCCAACTCTCCCGGCGAGGAAGGGAGCGACCGGCTGGCGCTGGTCCCGTTCAGCGCCGCCATGTCCGGCCCGATCACGCCTCCTGAGCCGATCCAGTGCCAGTTCTGCGAGCAGGACCCGCCGCAGGACGCCGTCAAAACGTGCGTGACGTGCGAGGTGTCGTACTGCGAGGAGTGCCTCAGGGCCACGCACCCGAACAAGAAGCCGTTCACCGGCCACCGGCTCATCGAGCCCATGCCGGACTCCCACCTCAGGGGGCTTCAGTGCCTGGAGCACGACGAGGAGAAGGTCAACATGTACTGTGTCACGGACGATCAGCTCATCTGCTCGCTGTGCAAGCTGGTGGGGAGGCACAGAGACCACCAGGTGGCGGCGCTGAGCGACCGCTACGAGAAACTCAAGGTGAGCTCACGAGGTGTTCGGAAATTGCTTCGTGTTACAGCAGCTCCATGGCGCGATTTAGCCTTTTTTAAATGGGGTGCTCCAAAAACGGGAATGTTAGGGTCATAGATTCCCTTCATTCCATTTACCGGTAATGAATTTTAAACTGTAATTGTATGCCGCTCGGCAGAAATGTCCCATTATCCTTACCCAGGTATCTAACTTGATTATCAAGTGAGATTTTTATCATCTCACGCTGAATTATTATCTCCGCCGAATAATTAAGCAATTAGCATAATCACTGCTCCATGCCAGCGTGCCGGGAGGGTATTCAGAGGCGCGCACAGACGGGGAGTATGGCAATGTGTCATTAGCGACAAGGCATGGTGTCTCCAATAAGGTTGCAGGTTAACAAGCGGCAACTGTGCGCCGAGTGTGGGTGTGCTTAATTGGCCATGGCTATCAGAGTTTGCTGCTAGTGGCCAAGGAGGCGGGATTCATCTTTGTGTTGTGTGACTGAATTGTTCCTCGGAATGTTCACAAGGCTGCTTTACATCTCAAAATCAAAACTGTCTGCCATTGAACATCGAAGCGTTTTCGTTTAGTAGAACTTCCACGCAGTGAACGGACTAGTCGGCGGTTTGAAACCGATGAGAAGTATACAAGCCCTCTACGGGCAAACTGAACTAGTTGAATACAATTGGTACACTGTACTTTCTAAGGATTTTAGTCAGTTATTTTAGACATGGTTCAAGCACAAAGATCAACACATTTCTACCACGGAACCATTTGTAATTATATATATATATATATGTATTATTTTCTCTCATGCAACCCCTTTATTACAACAGATGCAATTTTGCTGTCAAAACGTGACCATTTGGCGTAAAAGTCTAAACTTTATCTCAAGTTCCGTCAGAACGTTGACTCATTCCAGCATTTAAAACAATTCTCATTAATCCACCCAAGAACAAGTAACAGGATATAAATCTAACTTTTCCAAAGCGTCATTTACCCAGGGAAACAAAGTGCTTATTCGGCATCTCAAAGCGTCTTTAAATGGTGTTGCGACCCCTTTTTTCCTTTTACTAGCGGTTTGAAACACATGTTCAAGTAGGAAGTAGTGAATCACTGCAGCTGATTTCAATTGTGGTATTCACAGAGGGAAAAGGTAGTGAATACTGAGCCACCATAGAACGGTGGAGGGTGGTGTGTCTGGAGAAGGCCTTTATTGCTCAGAAAGGCAACAAACAATAACACAAATCAATGATTTGCCCGAGAGAAAGATTCCAATTAAACGGTTATTTTGGGCCCTCTACTGGTTGGCAGCCTGCTTTTTTTTTTATTAACTTTTCTGCCTCCATGAAAGGGCTCGACGTGCCGTCATCAAAGAGGACAAACACGTAGCCGTACCTCCACGTCCCCGCGGGTTTCAGCGGATTCAAGCAGAGAGGAACAGTTAGCAGGAGAGCTACGGGTCAGCGCTTCATCCAATGATGCCGGCTCCCTCCGTTCATCTGCAGAGCGCGTTTCAGTGCGACCCAGCAGTTATCATACGGGCTACTTATGTGCTGTAATACATACACACACACACAGCAATAGCAGATTGCTCCTGGCTGTGACATCCCCACGTGTTGCATGTATGCGAAGGACACGTACAACCACGAGGCCTCTAAGATACATTTGACATGTGTCACAGCCTTCTGGGACTCCCTGCTGGGTCGTTTATTGGCGGTAGCCACGTGTGATTCATCATCCCCTCTTTGAGCGAGTCCATGTTTGATTCACTATATTTTTACATTTAAATGCTTCACAGACTGAGCTGCTGAAAATAGAAAAAGCTTTGAAATAAAACAAGTGGGGTGTAAAGCTGTGGGAGAATGTCCAGTTTATTACCCTTCAATCTCTAAATCAGAGATTATAAAGGAAAATATGTCACATTATAATACTTAGATAATATATTTGGTATTACCGGTCTTAAAACAAGTTCAAGCTAATTCACAAGCTGTGTAATCCTTCAAAATAAGTCGATCATCATGTAAAGTAAGTAGTAAAGTAAGTAAGTAAATCAACCTTGTGAGGAAGATGAGAGCAGCTGTGGAAACAAAAAGGTGTATGCTTGCTTCATTAACTCACACAAACACACACACACACACACACACACACACACACACCCTGGAGACCGACAATCGCCCCCCTCCCCTCATCAGAATCTGCAGATAGACACGTGCCGCAGCTCCTTTCTCACACAGGAAACAAATGTTGGAAGTTAGAGGGCATCTGACCACCTGTTGGCCCTCAAAAGGGCCTTGAGGCGGCCAGCTGGCCCCCGACTTGGGTTCAGCCCTCTCGGCCCGCAGCTGAAGGATCGAGGCGCTTTCTTCAAATAACTCAAATAACTCACTGTATCTTCACTAAAACAGCCAGGCTTAAAATACACGTCCGAGCCTCGGGCTAAGTAGAATGTTCTGTTCGTGTACATCAGCAACTCATTTTATGACAAACACAAGTCTCAACACACACGGTAATCTCATCTGCGATTATGAGACAAGTAATGTTAATGTAATCTTTTTAGACCTGCAGACAGAGAGAAATGTGGCAGTTGAATTGTTACTTCTATTTGTTTACCAGCTTCCGCTGAAGGTTCTGCGACCGACGGCGCGGAATAAATTGAGGCCTTGGCCTGAGCTAATGAGCGCGGGGGGAAAAGAAAAACGGCCATGCAATATTCATGGAAAACAATGCGTTTGATTTTTAGTTTATGTGGACAGAAAACTTTGGGGGAACGTCTCTAAAGAGGAGGAACAGGACAGACACCCAAACCGCTGTCACCAAACCTAAATGGTCGAAATGCTTAAGATGTAAAGCCCTCCCTTCCTCTTTCTCACAGATCTGATGCTCTTTGATTTTGCAGTATGACATGTCAGAAGCGCTAAGGTTGTTTTCCGGACCATTTCATGCATATCCCGTTTTCGCACTGATCGGATGAAATTTGACATACAAAAAACAACTGCAGACGATTGGAATGGTTTCCTTTTTTTCTCTAGTGGCAGTGGTGTGGTGCCTGATAAGAGCCGAGGGGGTTATTGAGGGAACACCCATCCTTTTTGGGGAGATAAAATCCCCCCCTCGCAGGAAATTGACGAGAAGATGACAAGAAATAGCTCTCAAAGTCCTCGGCTCTAGAGGCAAAAGAACCTTGAGGATAAGAGATGGGCCCTTCTGTGTGTGCCAGCTTTGGTTTCAAATCCTCGGTTTGTTGTTGTTTTTATACGGTAATCCATTCGGCTTAATCAGCCGCCCTTCAGTGTTCACCTTATTTTATAACCATGAAAAACCTTCCTCAGAGACATTAAAGGGCAGCTACAAAATCCTCCCCGGCGGTGTGACTCCTCACCTTGCTTTCCATCCCCGCCTCGCTCTGCAACCGTGAACCTCGCTGCGTGTGTCTTCACTGGTGTGACCGAGGTGTTTCTGATCGCTGTCGCTGTCTGACACTTATGAATGTGAGCAAAGTGAAAAAGAATGACAGTGAAATGTTTGGGTTCCTGAGGACACACCCCTGCTCAGTGTCACAGTGACTCAGGTGTAGCTCCCCTGACGTTTTCAGCACACTTTTCTACCTTTCCCCATCTCCTGCTGTGTGTGTGTGTGTGTCATTCCTTTGCACACCTTCTTCGCTTACCAGTACTGCTCCACAGCTCACTCCCAGCACGCCTCTCTTTTTGCTCACATGAGCATTAATGACAACCGCAGTCAACACCAAGAATCACACAGCTTTTCCTATTTTTAAGCCAACAGGGAGACGATGATGAAGAAATATGCAAAGTTTTGCCTCCGCTTGCAAAGAGCGGATCCTTGTCAAACAGGCTGATCTGAGAGTGCTGCAGCAGAGAAGCTTGCCGGTGATCAAAAGCAGATGCTGTGGAAGGAACATCAGCCTTCCTCTGAAAAACACGGCACTGGCTGCGCCTTCTCGCCAGCTGACCAAACTTCAATAAACAAAGTCATATTTTTAAACGTATCCTTACATTTCAAGCTATTTCCCCACACGCCTCGTCTCCAACCGTCTAATCACAAGAGTTTTGACAGCTGCCAAGTGACCATGAACACCACTGTGTGGAGTAGAGACAGACCACTTTAAAAAAAAGACACTGCAGGCTATATTTCCTTTAAAATATGTGTATTTAAAGTATACCACAAGCAGGGTTAATGTCACAAGATTACTGAGGTTATCTGGAGTACATCACTGCAGCAGTGAGAGGACCACTGGAGGTCACTACACCCTTCCAGCATGATGCTCATTTTCACTTTTAAGGGTCTGATCCTTCACAAACATTGTATGAAATAAAATGTATTTCCCATATGTGGAGTACCGACATGGCTTACATTTAATGGCCTTTAATGGTCTAAAAATGCCTCAAACGTGCATTCTTGCTAATGGCCACCGGGGGGCAACTCCTCAAATTGCAAAAATGAGTCTTGAATGAATGAATGAGAAAATTACACGTTTCATTAGAAAACGTAAATACAAGTTGGTCTCAATCACTACTACTGACTAAGTCTTCTTCAACACAGCGTGTTTACTTGGTGAGTTACGGTTTATTTAGAGTATAGCGGTTTTAGCGTCACACCGATACAGCTGGAGATTTAAAATAATCCGAAGCCAGTGCTGCATGTCTTATAACTCAAATCAGAACAGACATTAGCTTAGGTGGTCAACCTGCGAAGGCCAGCCGGGCGGCTGTGAGCGTTGACCCCTTGGCGTCCAACTCTGACCCCTACACACACAAATAGTGAATATGTAATTACTTTGTATGCGTACACACAATAGCATGAGCGCTGACAGCAGGATTCTTTTTTTTTTTTTTTTAAACCCTCCCCGACATTTCTTGTCCTTTAGATTACACGTGGAGATGTAAAGTCGGCTTTTGAGAGCGTGCTAACAATAGACATCATCACAAGTAGGTTTTGCTCTTCGCATGTATGCACGCATGGATTCTGCTGCACACAGCGACTCGCACATGACGCAGCTGCTGACAGATTGTTGTGGTCCCTGTCCTCCTCCTCCTCATCATCATCATCATCAGCGCCACGAAAGAGGTTTAGTTTATTTTTATCTCTGCGGATGATAATGGCGATGACAGCGGCGTACTCTCTCTGAGGAGGCCTTTATGCCGCTGATGCTTTTGTGTGTCATTTGCGTATTAAGGCCACCCATTAAGCCCCCGTTGTGCCACTCCGGCAAACGCGAACACACACACAAATGCCAATGCCTTTGTTTTTACTGTTAGTTCAACAATCCCGGTGGGGGTAAATCATATTTAATCCTAGACTAAACATCGGGCCCGGCTTGGTTTACACGGCCTGCTTGGAAGAGGTTAAAGTGAATTGGAATGAAGCATATCCAGCTAGTTCGTCCTGTTTAGAGCAAAGAAATTGAAGTTTTAACCTCAGCGCTCCTCCAGTTAACGCATAAATTCTTAAGGGAAATATTTATTGGTTTTTTTTTAAATGGGACAGCGGAGACGCGGCATCAGAGCGGCTTAAGCACGCTCTGTTTGGCAATAATATGACAGTCCTGGAGTAAAGGAGACAGCTTGCGGCCGGGCGAATGAAAATCCGGCAAAGGAGGAAAAAGAAAAAAGGGGGGCGGCAAGAGAAAAGGGAGGAGCGTTGAGGGACGAGGCTGACGGGCTGTCACCTGTTTACCGGTTTGTTAGCCGAGAGCGCCGTGGCGTGCTCTCACTGGGTAAAGGCTTTTGACGCCCAATTTGCCGCTCGGCCGGGCTCGCGCTCTGCTCGCTGCTCAGCCGAGTGTCTGTCCCAGTCGCGTCCTCTCCTACAGCCAGCTCCGCGTTCTTTGGCGCCTCGGACAGGATGAGGAGGCAGTACAGGGACGAGGGGTATAACCCGCACTCAGAGGTACGTCGGACGCTTGGGTGGGGCAGGGGAGGAAGAGGAGATGATGGGGGAAACATTGCTTCTTGATCGGCTGCTCCTTTGCTCAGAAATCAAACATTACGGCTCCTTTTTTCTCATGTTTCAAAGAATGCATTTACTTTAAAACAGTTTGTTTTGTTGTATAGTCCCAGAGGTGCTTTTATAACTTTTTTTTGTTTTTGCAAGTGTAAGCTGCCATTTTTTACCCCCCCCTTTACCGCTCTAACTTCCTTGGCTTCTTTGCGTTTATGTCCCATCCATTCATTTTTTTGGTAAATCACACGGTGTTGTTTCTTTAATCTGTTCGCTACAGCAAGCCCTGGACTCCAACCTCACCAACTTGATCAAGAGGAACAACGAGCTGGAGTCTCTTATGGGGAAAATGATCCAGACATGTCAACATGTAGAGGTGAGTCACAGTGGTCAAAGCTCACTTATATAAACACTTTTTATTTTCTGTTTATGTCTGGGCAAGAACACTTCTTATTATCACCATGATATTCTTAGAATTTTTGTGCACTAAATTTCATTTCTTATTTGCATTTATTTAAGAAACCTGAAATTTCGGTTTTGCAGAGATACTTGACTTATGACTGAGATCAGTATTCCTTAGCTTAGCATATAGCTACGATTAGCAGCTAAACCGTATAGTGGCAGTTTGATCTAATCATAAACTCATTCTAGAGCTGAAGAGATTTGTCGATTAGACAACTACTCGGTCGGCAGAAAAGTGGAGGCGTTTCTGACTTTAGCAGTCATGAATTAAATGATCTGGTTCCAGCAACTCAAATATTAGCTGGTTCTATTTTCCATTAGTCGTCACATGGAAATGGCATATCTGTGGGTTTGGGAGCCGTGATTGAAATTACATAATCTTCTAAGCTGTGTGATCTTGTGCTTTTTGTAATTCAGAAGGCAAATTGCTAGTTGCAGCCGCGCTGTATTATTTTAATGTCACGCTTAATTATGTTTGCGGTACTCTGCGCTTTCCCTTTCACTTCCTTTCCTTTTATGTGGGTCAAAACATCTGGTTTTGTGCAATAAAGTGCGTGCATGATTGTGTGTTTACTGAGTGCTGTGCTAAGCTCGTTCATGTCACACTGGCCCACTAGGGAGCTTTGAATAAAGCAACGCCACAGGGCTAAAAACCAGCAACATCTTAGCTGGTAAAGAATGGCGGCGCGCCGCTCTCCCTGCCAAAGGCCATTCAGAAACTGCCAGGACAAGGGATTGTTTTTGGTTAAGTTCTCTGCTCAAATATTTTCAGTGTTTTTGTGTCACCACCCCGCAAGTAAGCCTGAGGAATTTGACACACACACACACACACACACACAAAAAAGAAAATATGTTTCTTTCGCACAGGTGCATCAAAGTTGTGCAACTCTCTCGCTCTACAATAGCTTGTGCAGTGAGTAGTGAGTGGTGAGTGGTGCGCTGGTTTAGGTGGGAACGGAAGAAGACGTGGGACAACAAATGCAGGAAATGATGTAACCCTAATACATGAAGCAGCTGCAGTGGTGGTATATAAAGGGGTTTGAAAAATAAAGTTAAAAAAAGGTGGGTCACACAGAAAAAGCTTTGCACAGACAGCGTTCTGAATATTTCACACCAGATGAATCCATTAAACAGCTTCTCGGGAGACGGCCCTGAGAGTCTCATGAATCTCTTAAACTAGATGATGACTTACTTGAGCCGTGGTTTAACCTCGCCGGCTTTTCAAAGCTCCTGCACCGCATTACGTCAAATGAGACGAGCCACATGTCAACTAATGCAGTCAAGATGCTTTAATTGTTGGAATGTGATGCCCCGCGCGGTTCTGTTGCCTTTTTGCGTGTTGGAAATAGTTGTTTGAATCCAATCCTAAAGGAGGAACCATGTGAAGCTGTTGATTTGGTTTTTGAAACGTAATAAAAGAAAAAATAAATCAGAGCAAGGAAAAAAATGAATGCGTATTCTGACAGTTGCCCTTTTCTGTGCCTTGCCGAAAGTTTGGATATCCTCGAGGTCTTTTCGGTGTGTGTGTGTGTGTGTGTGTGTGTGTGTGTGTGTGTGTGTGCGCGCGTGTTTCTGTGGCTTATGATTCACTTAATGTCTCTCCCAGAGTGCAATCTGTCATACTGCTCGTCCGCTCCGAAGGGCTCTGCCCACAGTCATTAGATGCTCCACATCTTTACATGTTGTATGATGTACTCACACACTGTGTGTGTGCGCCGACGTTTTCTTACTGGAATGTTTGTGTGACGACTTGTGTGCCTCTGAAGGCATTGTGGGCGGTCGGATCCGCTCAGAAGAGCAATAACGGAGGACTTGGAGGCTGTGCTTCATTGTTGTAGAGCAGATGAGTCGGAAACGCCTCACAACGCCATACTCGACTGCTGTACTTGCTGATCAGCCCTGACTTTTCTCTTTCTACTGTTTTTGTACAGTGTTTATTCATTTAACAATCTTGTTTTTAGCCATTTTGTTAAGTCATACTGCATTGTTTCTGTGCGGTCTGTGTCACTTGTGTGGACTGTGCTTCTGTCTCTTGGCCGGGTCATCATTGCAAATGAGAATGAGTTCTTAGTTAATTGATTTTACCTGGCTAAATAAAAAGTCAAATAAATAAAAAGGCACACGAATACAAGCTTTTCACAGCGAAAACAGTTTCCATCTCAAGCCGTCACGGCGAGGTGGAGTGAACCATTTAGTGGCGTTGGTAGAGGCCGACTCCCCAGGGTGCTCTGAGGTGTTCAACCTGACGCTGTAAGATGTGTTATCTTTAGGATTATTTCCGTCGCCCGCACGGGGGGGTCCAGAACCGCACTTGACTGCAATAACCGGTCGGCAACACTGACGGCGGACTTCATTTTCACTGGCCCCCGGACACTTTACAAGGTGCTGAAAGTAAAACGGGGGGTGGGGGGACGATCTTAATGAAAGTGCGCGTGTTTTGCTGCGACCCGCCCTCCCAGAGTGGCGTTGAACCATTTTTATGGCCTCCAAAAGGCTCCAAGTGAGTCAAACACGTCACTTGGGGGCCGTTTGCCGAGTCAACCGCGCTTTCTCAAACACCTTCCAACTAAATTCAATTATTTTCCCTTGGTTTATTTGCCAACCACGTTTGGCTCCGAGCCCGGGCAGATGTCTGAACCCAATGCCAAAAAGAAAATGTTTCCTGACTTCAAAATGGCCACCGTGGAAGAAGAGTCACCCATTGGCTGTTTCCAAAACCAATCCCTTGTTCACGCTTTTCTCTATTTCCTGACATTTTATCATATCTATAGACTTTGCATTTCATTTCCACAAAAATCTACTTTTATCCAGGGTGCCACCTCTGCACGGTCCTGATTTGAGACTCAGAATGAGCGCTCAGCGCGCCGCTGAATGTCGCGTATGCTCCAGCCGCAGAGCCCGCCGCCTATTTTACTTTTCGCTGGACACTCAGCACGCGAGCAGGAGGCCAAATGGATGAAAATGACTCAATTTTGTTCAGCACGGAGGGCCGGCTGATGGATGTAAACGACACTCTGTCCCTCGGCTGACATGATATAAATACCCTTCGCTCATATCGCTCTGTGTACATCTATATATATATATATATATATAGATACACCCACCATCCATCAATCTCTTTGTTGACCGAGTGCTCTGTGTGACTCGGTCCTCAGGTGAACGCATCCCGCCAGGAGGGCAAGCTCCTGGAGGAGTGCGACGTGCTGATCGAGATCATCCAGCAGAGGAGGCAGATCATCGGCAACAAGATCAAGGAGGGGAAGGTGAGGCCAGCGCTCAGCAGAGGGCGACGAGTGTGACAGCAGATTTATTTTCGTTTTGCCTTTTCACCCCCACATCCTCCGAGATGTGTCTACAAACAGCCTAGTGGTCCCTCTTTATTGCAGCGTGATGGCAAGCAATTGTGCGTGCTTGATTCCTGCGTGTATACGGTGTAGGTCATCGGTTTGGATTCCAATAGCGTCCCGATGTCACTCCGCTTACCCATCAATATGTAAAACTGTGACAACTCTTCAAGCTGTTTCTGTCCAATTAAATATTTGGTTACAGCTACATGATCTTTTATTTTCGAGCAGACGTTGTGCAGCTGTCACAAATGGAAACCCATGTCAACAAATTCTGAACAGACGGGAAATTCCTTTTGACTGGCCAGGAGTAGATCCCAGAGCATATGGGAGCGCACACGCGTACTAAACCCGGATGATTTCTTTTTAAAAAGCTCTCTAATGAGACTTGGATCCCAACAGGGTTTTATTTTTTTCACGGTGTAATGGGCGCTTTTAGCTTTGAGGATTCTGTCAGAGAGGGCAGGAAAAAAAAAAAGATAAATAGATGTATGTTTTTTTTGCTCGTTCTGACAGCAAGTGTCCTTAAGCTCCCTTTATTTCTGAACAAAATGACAACTTTGCAAATTTTAGACTTTCCGACTGATTTTTTCATTTTATTTTTTAGATCTTTACCAGCCAGACTGCTCATGACATGTTTTTTAACCTCAATCCAGTCACTGACCTCAATCTGTCTCCTAACATCTCTGCTCATAGAGAGGGGATGAAACTGTGGGGCAAACGAGGGGATATCAAATCCCAGATTTGCGTGCGGTAAAATTCGCTGAAATGCCTCAAGAATGTGGTACTGGCAGGCGCACGGATAAGCCCGTCTCTCTCTTGGTTTTCTTTTTCTCAAAATAATTAACTTTCACAGAAGGTTCAGCAGCAGGATGACACCCGTGGTTTCTCTACGGCGTAGAGAGCGAGCGAGTTCACCTTGAAGAGTCTGGTTCATTCATCTTCACAGTAAAAAGACATCACGAAGGCGACTGAACTAAACCGAGGAGGGAGGCAGAAACAAAGCACAGACGGACGCGCTCAGGCCCTTTGCTAGAAGTCACAGTCCTGCGTGGTCGTACTAATTAGGAGAACATGAAGAAATACTCGACTACGTACATCAGTGGCCACCGGGTTTGACCGTTTTCACCGCTGGCTAAATTTGATATGTTAACATTCATCTCCTTACCAAAAAACCCCCCCAACCCTTTTTAGGCCATTTTGTCTAATCCCCAATAGTTTGCACCATTTCAACCAGATTGCACGCATTCTAGCGTTGGTCATTCGATCCGGCCCGATGGCAGAAGTTCTCAGGCTTTCTCTTTGCCACCCAAATCCCAGGCGCATAGGATCCGCAAGCTCGCCCAACAGATCTCCAACTGCAAGCAGTGCATCGAGAGGTCCTCCGCCCTCATCACGCAGGCCGATCAGACGCTGAAGGAAACAGACCACGCTCGCTTCCTGCAGACCGCAAAGAGCATCAACGAGAGGTCAGAATTCGCTTTCTTCTCGCGGGTTGGCATTATACACTTTGGCCAACAGTTTTGCACACTTGGTCTTACTCGATTTCTCCAGCAGCAGACGAGTAGGGAGAGAATCCCGCCTTCAGTTAGCCGAAGTCCACTCACTACTCAAGCTTTCTGAATAATTTGGAAATTTTGTCATCTAATATATGCATAAACAGGAGGATTTCAATCAGCATCTCATTTGCACTATTTGTCTCACTATTTAGTATCCCCAAATAACTTGTTACTCTTTGAGTAGCTGGTGAATTATGATATGAATTATGAATTATGATCTCCTCGATTACGCAAAGTATGACGGCCTGTTCTGTTGTGATTGGTAATCATCTAGGGTTTCCATGGCGAATGCATCCACCCAAGTGCTGATTCCTGAGATACACCTAACGGACACCTTTGACACGGTGGCCCTGGACTTCACCAGGGAGAAGAAGTTGCTGGAGAATCTGGATTACCTCACAGGTAAATCTTCTTGTTTTTGTGTATTGAGTTCATAGCGTATGAGTGTCTAAATCAGTAAGCGTTTTAATTCGCACTGAATGCTCAATGTTTATTGTCTTTGAGAAGAAAATGACTAACCGGGAGTTGCTTTTTTTGTTTTGTAGTCTTGTTGTGACTAGAGACAAGCCCTTTAATTCAGATCTTCACTAACCATGACAACCAAACACTGACTTTGATTACAACTCTATTGCAGCTAGAATGTTGCCTTTGTTATCCTTTTGAATCCTCTGCTGTCTTCAGACCCTGCGTTTGGGAGATGCAGTCCCCAGTACATTGACCCCTAAATACATTTTCGATGTCCCATTTGGAAGGACCCGCCGTGCGAGTTTTGAGCTCGCTGGGGACAAAAACGAGGCATCATGTGTAGTGGATTCGAAGGCCTGTGAAAATGGCTGGCTCATATTTACTCTGTGCGCTGCATGAGGGCTCTGCTGCGGGGCCTTTCCACTAAGTGAATCAGGCTGAATCACTCCACTATGCACAGCCACTCGCGGGCAGGGAGAGGAGGGGAGGGGGGGTGACGGACCCAGAAAGAGATGGGAAGTGGCTCTTCAAATCAATCTAAGCTGCGTCTTTGTATCTTCGTTTCTTACCTCGGCCTGTTCTCTTTCAACCAAGGGCTTTATAATACAAAATACAAAAAAAGGAGAAGCATATCAGAAAAAGCATAGAGACGTATGAGTGTAAAAGCCAATCTGCCGTATCTGGTTACATAACGACTCACATTTGTTACAGCTAAAAGGGTTGCGTTACTTACTCCCCGCTGTGTTAACGTGAGCTGCTTTTCATGTGAATATTTTATTATTCCTCTTCAGCATTGCTTTTTAATGCTTTTAACCTAATGGAAAGAACTTATTCAGTTGTGTGTGTAATGAACCTTTTACACTCATAAACAGAGCCCAATGAACTAGTACGGGGTTAATTGGGGCTACCGTTTGCTATGACAAATGACATCTGTGTTATCGTATTTAGAATTTAGTATTCATTCAGTTATTATTATCAGCACTAGACCGTGTCGGATGACTTTTGCTCTTTGCGTGCCCCTCTGCAGCTCCAAGCGCTCCGTGCATAAGGGAAGAGTTGTGCACAGCTTCGTACGACACCATCTCCGTGCACTGGACGTCTGATGACGAGTTCACCGTGGTGTCCTATGAGCTCCAGTACGCCATCTTCACTGGGCAGTCTAACATTGCCAGTAAGTAGTACATCAACTCTTGGACATTAAACAGGGATTAAAGGCAATATCAGGTTTTTACACGCAGTATTTTTTAATCCTCTTTTTTTTTTTAGCAAAAAACAATGGGTTTTGTGGGGAAAATTTGAAACTGTGATTTCATCTTCGCGTGCCATGACCATAAAAAATGACTGAAAATGGCCCCTATGGTGCAAGAGATTAACAACTGTGAACTGAAACTGATGCAGACTGGATGGATGCTGAGAGGAAAAAAAAGCTCCCAGAAGGAACGTAGGGAACATGAAGACAGACAGTAAAATGGCAATCCTGGGCCTACTTTTTGTCGGCAAGAGGCCAGCGTTTGTCTTTGGTTTGTATGTGGGAAATCTGCTAATAAAAAAGGGTACACTAAAACATATTCCATGCAACAAGGACATACCGACAAGGAGGACTAAGCACTCAAATCAGGGTTAAATTAGTTGATTTAGAAAAATCTTTTAGAACGTTTAGAAGATGTTTTAGGTGAAGATGGACAAACGCATTGAGATCTTTTCTGAAGCGTCTTGAGAGCTTACTAACCCGCTCAGGTACAATCGCGCTGCTCTACAGGTCGCCACTGGCTCCCCTTCGGCGGTCGGGAGCTGAAGTGCTTTTCTAAAAGTCAAGATAGCGTTGGAAGTGTAACCTCCAAAGTGAAGCCTCTGGCCTTTATGCTACTATCGCTCTCAGATGTTGTCGCACATCAAGGGACCGTAGCGCGTGTCGGATGAAGGGGGAACGGGACTTGACAATTCACTTTGGGTGTCGACATCAGTGGATATACTGAGATTTGATGTGTGTACGCGGAAGAGGTTAAAAGGTGGCAACGAGTCCGTATTCTTCTTCTTCTCTACCTTTCTCTCCTTCTTCCCGAGCTCAAACCTTCCGAATGACTCCACCGCTCGAAGCGTGTTTAGAGCAGACAGCCGTCAAGCTAATGTGACATTTATTTCCTCTCCTCCTTTCACACCGCTGTCCCCTCCTGTTCGCCGAGACGCCCTCATTTTTCTCTCACCTCCTGTTTTCACATCCGATAATGATGGAGGTGTCGCTATTGGCAGCCAAGTCGCACGCTAGAGAGCCCCCCCCCCAGGTGCAACTTCGGATGAATTGAGAAGTAAAAGTATACTAACATTGATTCAATAAAAGACGCTTAACGTAAGCACACATGTTGCAGCCTTCTGAATTTGATTGCCAGTAGGAAATGAGTGCTTATATGATGAGATTCACTGCTTCTGTGTGTTGGAGTTTAATGGATTTACTTTAGGTCCCGATGTGTATACAGCAATAGTCATACACATAGGCAAACAAAAAGAAAATATTTAATTGTTGTTGTTGATGATGATTCTTGAGCACAAAGGTGGGGGCCACGTGTCCATGTGACACTATACATTTCAAAAGAAACCAGACGGCAATTGTTTCGAGAGATTAATTTCACTTCTGGGTGGCCAGGGAAGTACACCCTTGCACGCCTCGGGAGGGTGAGGCCGCAGTACTGTGGTGCGATTGAATAAACACACATGCCGAGATGGAGCGTTGTGCCGCTATGGAGCCGTCGAGGTGTGAACGGCTTCATCTCGGGCCTTTTCACACTCTCTCCTCTGTCCCCACCGCCGCAGGATCACAAACAACCAACGCTTTCGTACACTATGCGTTCACACGGCTGCACTGGACTTCACTACTCTCCAGGAAACCTTGAACTCAACCATTTTTCTTCTATGGGGGAGTTTGCTTGTTGCAGACTTATCTAGACTATTATCCTTAGATTAAAATGAATTATATCTGGTATGAATGCATTTTTTAGGACAACAATAAACTTACCCTCTCCTCCCCAGGTCTGTGCAACTCATTGGAGAGCTGGATGATTGTTCCCAACATCAAGCAGAACCACTACACGGTGCACGGCCTGCAGAGCGGGACAAAGTACATCTTTGTCGTCAAGGCCATCAACCAAGCGGGAAGCCGGAGCAGCGAACCGGGGACGCTGAAGACCAACAGTAAGAACCAAACTCAAAAAACAAAGAGCATCGGATTGAGCTGTGCCGAACACTGGCGTTAAAGTCGCCCATTGTTTTTAATAACGAGCCGCGTTGTAAAGATTGTCTCCTCGTCTACCAGGCCAGCCGTTTAAGTTGGACCCCAAATCGGCCCACAAGAAGCTGAAGGTGTCCCACGACAATCTGACGGTGGAGCGGGACGAGACCACATCCAAGAAGGGCCACAGCCAGGAGCGCTTCACCAGCCAGAGCAGCTACGGCGTGGTGGGGAACGTCTACATCGACAGCGGCCGTCACTACTGGGAGGCTCTGATCGGAGGGAGCACGTGGTGAGTTTCGCCGGCCCCGCAAATGTCGAGTCGGGAGTCGGCTCGGGGTTGACCAAAAGTCTCCGCTCCTCCCGTCAGGTACGCCGTGGGCATAGCCTACAAATCGGCCCCCAAGCACGAGTGGATCGGCAAGAACTCGGCCTCCTGGGTGCTCTGCCGCTGCAACAACTCCTGGGTGGTCCGCCACAACAGCAAAGAGCTGGCCATCGAGCCCTCGCCCCACCTGCGGCGCGTCGGCGTCCTGCTGGACTACGACGCCGGCTGCGTGACCTTCTACGACGCCGTGAGCTCGCAGCACCTGCACACCTTCCACGTGTCCTTCGCCCAGCCCGTGTGTCCCGTGTTCAACGTGTGGAACAAGTGTCTGACGATCCTCACCGGCCTGCCCATCCCCGACCACCTGGAGGGGCAGGAGCCCGAAAACTGAAAAACGGACGGACGGGGATCCGTCGGCATGAACCGGTCTCAATCATCTTAAAGCTGCACTGCGGCACGTTTGGGATCATCTGTCAGCGTCCCATCCTTTTGAATTGGTTTAAATCCGCTCTTATCAGAATTGTGGTGCAAAAATATAAACAGTCTCCCTGGGGGAAAAAAAAAACCTGCACTAAAATGTGTCTAAATATTTGCTACCATTGTTGCAAAATTGCCTAGTGTGGCTTTTTAAAAGAAAAATAAGATGTCCGGTGTGTCTTCTAAAATATGATTTTCCGTGGTTTATTTCGATTTTTGAAGACGATCTGGCGCTGGTTCATGTGACAAATCTTTTCCAAGGAGGTTGACAGTAAGCCGGTCAATACAGAAGAAACTACGACAAATGGACAGATCTGAGGCAGAAATTCCTACTCAAATGCACTTTGGGCAATGACGGGTGCATTGGCACCATGGCAACAGGGAAACAAGCCACAAATCAATTTCAAATTTTCTTTTTCTTTTTTTTTGACACCAACTTAATAGCACTTTGAAAATCCCTGAAAGTACACACATCCCCCTAACACACACACACACACACACACACACACACCAGTGTGAACTAACTGCTGGAATGGGCAGAATTGTGTATATTTTGTAAATTCATCACCTCCTCTTATTTCTTCTTTCCCTCATTCATTAAAATGGAACCAAAGTAGCTGTTGCAGTCTGTTCAGATGTCTTTAAATAAATGCAGAATTATTTTTTAAAAACACAAAAGATATAGAATTATGTTGTTATTAAATGCAGAATCCCCTTAAATGTAGATCTTGTTTTGGTACATTGCTCACATTATTCATGCTGTTTGAATGCTGTCAGCTTCAAATGTATTGTGGTGAAATGAACACACAGCATAGAGTTCTGTGTTCTGAACTCACTTTATCTTTTTGCCAGCTATTAGGATTGTTTGTCATACATTCTATACAGTTTTTGCCCCAAGTTATTATTAGAGCTAAGGGATAAAATGCATCGAGTGTCACTTTTCTATACACCAAGCTCTTGTGGGACATTTGTGCTGGTGTGCCAATACTAAATTGATTTGCATCTAACAAAGAGTGTCTTCCCTTTATTAAAATATGTCACGTCATGTTTACTCTGAGGTCTTCAAACCCACATGCAGCATCACCTTCTTGAAAACATGTTGCACATTCATGTCAGAGTGATGTCATTGGCTTGCCATTTTAAAAGGGAAAAAAAGCCACTCAAAGGTTACGCCCATATGAACAAAACCTCCCGAAGGGATATTGTCAGTACCATATATTATAGTTTAATATTGTTCTATGCTTGATATTGTTCAACTGTGGCGGAAGGCGCTCCTCGGTGTGAATACAAACATTTGGTTGTATAAAGTTGCTTTGTTGGTTACCTGGTTACCTGGTACACTTTAAAAGAACAATCTGTATTTTAATTCTGTGTTTCCTTGGCCATTCATCTGTACGTTTTCATTGTATCCGATAATTTAATGTCTCCATTTGAACTTCATGACGTGGTGTTTATCGTGCCGTCTCTGTGGACAGTTTAATGGAAAGCGGGACGCGGGCGATTGCATCACCGTGGTCCGAGATGAGTCTATGAAAAGGTCAAAAATAAACTTCTGTTCCCTTTTAACGTCAAAGTGTGCGATTCTTTATGTAGTGAGACGAAACAGTAGCGTGAAAGGGTCGAGTCCTTCTTCTCCATTGACTACCAAGTTATGAAGTCAAGTGCAGGTCAGACACTAGCCTCTCCAATCCAGTATCTTACAGTAACAATGGATCACATGACAAAGACAGAAAGGAGGTCGCTTGGTAATTATCACCCATTGATAGGGATCGATTTGGAAAACCACTTCCAATGCGACGAGAGATATAACTCACCAGTTAATTTAAGAAAATATGCCAAAGGACATGACTTCAACTCATTCGGCTTTTGCCGCCCTGTTTACAGGTGCAGAAACGGTCTTTTCAGCCTTTAGGATTCACTGTAGTTCATTGCCACATGCTTATCTTGTCATTGTTCAGGATTCTCCGATCGATCAGACACGCTGGGCATCATCCAGGCAGATACTTTTGGTCAATCAAAATTTCCTCAGGCCGCAACTGGCTCGTGCATTTCCTGAGGAAGAGGAGGGGGGGTTGAGTCTGACATGTAAACTTCCCACAGACATCGGGGGGGTTCGTCCTGATTCTTCCAGGAGCAGTTGTTTTTAGACTGGCAAGCATTGGCGGGGGGGGACTAACTACCGAGCGTCGGCTGAAGCTCTGTGTGTGTGTGTGTGTGTGTGTGTGTGTGTGTGTGTGTGTGTGTGTGTGTGTGTGTGTGTGTTATTGCCGCGGTTCACTGGCCTGAGCTCAGTTAAGCCAGCTTTCTACTGAGCAAACAATGAAAAGAACACAAAGGCACTTTACGGGTCAGCGTCTGCAGATAATGGAGGTGATGATGTGGCGAAGATAGTTTGGCAAGACGTGTCTTTGTTGAAGTCAAAAGCACTGATACTGTTATTAGTGCTGCTCTCTTGGACCTGCTGCTGTAACACCCTATGCATTTACGGTTGTTAATAACTCTTATACCATAGTGAGTCTTCTGAAGTAATGCTCCATCGCACATCCAAACGGACTATAAATTGTAGAGGGTTGCATGAGAACCGGTTGCACAGTCTTAGATCCACAAGACAATTAAAGTCCTTGCATGCGCACCGTCTAAAACCCTGAGTCACAATATTAGGCCATCTGTTCTGTAAAAGGGAGTCAGCCGAGCATGAATTGTGTCATTTTTTGATACGCGGATGTCCACAGAGAGCAATTATCTTCTGAACACTTGCCTCCGAGTCAACTTTCCGTATTCACGAAATAATGAATTCCTTGTTGGCTTGCTATAAAAGGGAGGGATGCCTTCCGGTTGTCAAACAAACCGCCTGTACTTAAATAACAATGAAAATGACCCGGACCTAAATCATATCCTTTTTCCTCAAACGTAATCCAATTTTTAGCCAAGTTCAGCAGCTAAGTGTGCTCACTGACCCCCCCCCTCCCAATGTTCACACAAACTATACAGTCAATTTTTGCTCTTGGTGGTTTTGTTGCATCTCGAAAGGTTCACGTAGTGGCGTTCTACTACTACTACTACATATTCAGACAGAGACCCTAGGCCAGACATGGGCAAACTACGGCCCGCGGGCCACATACGGCCCGTTAGGCTTTTTAATCCGGCCCGACGAACGTGTCCAAATTATAGTAAAAACCTTCTTTTTCCCTTTCCCTGCAATGCCCACGTTTCCCCAATAGATGGCGCACTCAAAACACATTGACCGTTGTTGGAGTGGCGCGTATTTCTCTTTATTTCACTTTAATTTTCACTTCGTTTCACGTCACCATTAAGCCCTTCTGTGAAAATAAGCGGACCAAAGAGAAGGAAAGTGGACAGCGAATGCCGAGTGTTTAATAAGGAGTGGACAACAAAATACTTCTTCACTGAAGTCCGATCAACGGCTGTATGTCTGATATGCCAAGAAGCTGTTGCGGTTTTCAAAGAGTACAATATCAGCCGTCACTTTGCCACGAAGCATACAAACTATGCTAGCAAGCAGTCAACACAAGAACGGGCGGCTACTGCTCAGAGGTTGGAAGCTAATTTACAGAGTCAACAGAATGGTGAGTTTTTCTGCTGTGTTATGAAAAAATGCATTTGGAAAGTTTGGAAGTGCGTCTTTTAATTAAGAGCAATGCGCATTTACGCACAGCAGCGGTACAGTAGCTTAATTAACACGCCGCACATCGCTCTTAATTTACATTTTCAGCTGCAGGTAGTATATTTAATACAGCCTATGTCTGTGTACTTGGCAACAATACACGTGTACTGTTTGCGCGTGAAGGCGAGGGCGTCCGTGGCGAGTTTGTAGAGCGCGCGGTCAGGACAATCCATCCATGATTTTGCGGAGTTTAACACAAGTAGATATTATTGAGCTTGAGTATTTCGTTGTGTAATAATATGTTTTGAATGTTGAAAGTAATTCCATATTTCAATAAATGTTGATTTCTTTAACTTTGCACCTTCGATTGAAACTTATTAAAAACAGACGCAATCTTGATAAATCACAGTGCGTATGTTATTTTAATCTATTTACATTTCCTCCTCCCAGTATCTGCGAAATAGTATGTAAATGCCATATCTTGCATATTCCTTGAGACAAATTTATTAACTGATAAGGGCTATTTTTCACATTTGAAAGACAGTTAATAAATTGGGTTGTAGTGTTCTTACTGTGCTATGAGGTTTACACACACTACATTTAATGCTTTAGTATATCCGGCCCAAAACCTCCCTCCAAATGCTCCTGGCCCGGCCCCTCTGTCAAATTTTAGAACCCATTGTGGCCCGCGAGTCAAAAAGTTTGCCCACCCCTGAGCTAGGCCTTAACGTAGATGTATATACTCCAGCAAAACGCACAAACTGCCACCCTGTTGTCTTCCTTCACAAGACCACTTCACTTTCCCTTCTCTCCCTTAGGCGAGCATTGTCCTGCTTTTGCGTAGCTACCACTGGAGGCTCTGCCGTCCCCAGAGGACACAGTATGGCCACAGCATAGAGAGAGGGGGGGGGGGAGGGGAGACTCTCAAAAAGACACAGCCTCCCTGCTCCCGGGGGGGGGCCCGCCTGTCTGCTGGAGGCCCTCACGGTCTTGATGTGCAGTGTGCGTGGGTGGTGGACAAACTTGCGGATGTATCTGAAGCTGACTGGGGACAATGTGGCATTTCAGCATGAGCAGGAGGGAGGGAGAGGGAGACAACACTAGTGTCTCCCCTGGGAGGGAATGTGGAAAATGGAACTGACTTTTGGAAAAGAAGAGAAGACTCAATAAAGATGTGTCCGTGTACTGGGACCAATGCGTATGGTCTGCAAAAGAAATTCTGAGCAATTCTTAAGTAAAGTAAAAAAGTAGGTCAGTCTGTATTTATTTACTCTTGAGTTAGTGTAAGAGGAACAATGTCACACTACTGAGGGCCAAACCAACAACAAAATCCCTTTTCTATAGACAGAGATTTGCAGCCAGCGCATGCAATGGAGAAACAAAAAGCCACATGAATTAAATATGAAACGTGTTATGGAATCAATAGCAGAATAAAGCTCCAGCAAAGCAGATGTGCCGTAGATGTGTAACCTTATTACTGGACTCACCTGCAGGGTTGAAAAAACAAAAGCCATGAGGTTCCAAAGTATTTTTGATGAAACGTTGACGTACACTAGGGGTCCAAATCGAACCAAAGAGCCTCGATGGCGCAACAAACAACAGCTTCCTGCTTCGAGGACCGCCACGTGCAGCCGCACAGCGGATCTTTCTACCATCGCCTTCCTCTACGAGCACCACGGCCACAATGACCCACACAGAGCAGCGTTGAAGGAGAACGCACTCATTCCCACACCGTCACCACGGCCACTCACCGGTCTGTTGGGCCTCCTCGGTCCCCTCGACCTGCGCCCGTCTCCGCCGCGCTCCCGGGAAGGCGTCAAACGCTTGGAGCTCAACGAGGACCCTGCGGGCAGAAGACGACAGGAGTCTCAAACAGCAGCGAGTCCTCACACACAGCTCACTGGGGAGATTAACGGGTGTTTTTTTGTCACCAGGTGACAAAGGTGAGTCAGTGACTGGGCCTAATTAGATGAATACATTGTTTCCAAACCCTGACTATTTGAACCAATTATTAGACGGGTAATATCGTTATGTGGTGGCAGAATAACCTATTCACGTGCTCATGCATACATTTGTAAAGCCATAACAAGCTCCTTTCTCATCAACTCTTCATGCATCTTTCTGGCTTGATGTACAAACTCTAAAAATCAGTCCTCAAAATGTCCAGCAGGTGTCACTGTTAGGTCTCAGGAAAAAAAGCCTATAGAAATGTTATTGCGTTGTGGACAACGCAAACAGAAGGACTGTTGAACTTCTGTGCGACTGACATTACATTTTTAACCCATGGCTTTATACATTTTGCCCGAGGAGCAATTAGGTGTAAGGTGTCTTGCCCAGGGACACTTTGACATGGGGCAGCTGGGACTTGAACCACCAACCTTGTGGTTCACAGCACCCTCTGTACCTCTGCGCCACGACGACCCTTTTGTTGTCAGAAGTTCTTATCAGGACTTCCATTAAGCAACGTCCGACTGTAAGTTCACCATCATCTAAGACCACAGTTGTGTCTGTGAGTCGGCCGTGAAAAAATGTTGCAGAACACGTTGCGAGGCTCGACTGCAGCCACAGTGTTTTGAAAAAGATCAATATACAATCAAGCTGTGGGTGTTTTGTCTCAGTTTTTAATTCTAAAGGTTATTGTCTAAGAAAGCAGCATGCATGTCTGGTACAAACCGCGAGCATGGTTAGCATCTGTGCATTATATCACAATCATAGTACAACCCAACGTACAACCCAAGAGAAATCTATCCACGCGCTGATGGAATAATTGCGACTGTAGCCGTGTAATTAACAAGCTTACTGGGAAGTTGTCAGCTAAGGTGGCTAAAGGCTTTCAGGTCAGTGATGGCAGAGAGGTGAAGTAGAACAGCCTCATGGTAGACAGTTGCCCGACTGCTCCACCTCTTGATCCAGAGGGGGCCTTTTCCCTTTAGGAAACGGTTCTCTAG